AGAGCCCAAAAGGATGATTTAAAATGTTGTGAGTTTGGCCAGAAAGGAAGCTCCAGGAAAGCTGTTAACTGTGAAGACAGAGCTGAGGATCTCCATTGCTGAGAGTAGAAAAGATGTCCTGAGGGCATCACAGGAGGTGGCAGGTTCTTGCCCTTTGCAGCCCCAGAATCACAAGGGTGAAGAACTTTGCTTTGAGGAAAAAGCCGCAGAGCCCCATGTTCCAGAATGGAGGCGGCGGCCACACCAGGTTCCAGAATGGAGGCGGCAGCCACAGCAGATTGCAGAATGGCCCCAGCATAGAGAATCTGTTTCTCAGAATCCGTGTCAGAGTGCTCAGCGATGCAGGCACTCAACTCCTACAGTCAAGAGAGAGGAAACCCTGGCCTCTGCTCCAGCTGGTGGCTTTGGTTGTAGGCGCATGAAGAATGCAAGCATTCGGAGGTTTGAAAGGCTTCCACCCAGACTTCAGAAGAAGGCCTGGGAGGCCAGGCAGTGTGCCCCTGAGAGGGCAATGTGTAAAGCTGTGAATGAGAAGCCTATCCAGTGGAAACCTCAGAAGTATGAAAAAGCCAGGAAAAAAGGGAGCAAAGCAGACCTGAGAGAAAAGCCTTAAGAGCTAGCCGCAGAAGTGCCTCAGAAGTGCCGTAGGGGTGGAGCCGCGTAAGGCTTTTGGAGCTCACTACTCATTACGGGGTGCTTTGGATGGTCCACAGGGAACTGCAGGACTTAACATTTGCCCTTCTGGACGTTGGACTTGTTTTGTTCCCAGTTGTTTGTATCCTGCTGTGTATCCCTTTTGGAATGGCAATGCTTATGTTGTGCCTGTGAATGTCAGAAGTGTTTAACTTTTCATTTGTAGAGGGGCTCACAGCTAAGTTTGCCTTAGATCTTGGAAGCTTCTGACTTGGACTTTTCAGTGTTGCTGAAACTGGTAAGACTTTGGCAACTCTTAGAGATGGACTAAAATGTCTTTTACATAAACGGTTGTACATGAGTTTTTGGAGGGGAAAGGGTAACATGTCATGGTTCTAATACAATGTTCAAGTTGTAAAATGTTTAAGCATATCTGTGTACCTGGAAATTGGCTTAAAGTATATGTCTAGTTGCCAAGTTGACAAGGGGTGGATTGTGTTAGTTGATACATTGTGTCAACTTGGCTGAATTAGCTCCGCGGATCTCAGCGTGGGGTCGCCCTGCAGGTGGGCAGGGCCCAGGAATTGAGAAAGGCAGGAAGCCACCCTGCCTGGTTTCCTGCTGCCCAGCCCCGCTTCGGTGGAGAAGTCTCAGTCTTCGGAGGAGCTTGACCTTGCAGCTGCGCCACTTTGGAGGAGCTCCGATCTTCACTGTGGAGCGCTCAGCGCAGAAGGAAGAGAGCGGCTTGATGGACGCCACTGTAGCTGCTGCTCCTCTTCTGCTCTTCATTGTTTTCTGCCGCATGAACTGCTGTTGTTTGCCTTGGAGCCAGCGGAATATGGAGTGAACCCTCCAGTAACTGTGAGCTAAATAAACCTTTCCTTCCTTCATTTTGAGTGTTGGGTATTTGTCCCAGCAACCAGTAAAAAGTAACTATGAATGTCCATTTTGTATCTGTGTATTCAAAGTGGTTGGGAAAGTGGTTGGGAAAGATATATAGTTACATTCTCTTAACGAATAGAGGGATTTGTTCTAATGGTGTTTATAAATAGGATGTCAGGTCCCCATCTTGTACAGCAATGAACCACTAATAAGAATGTATGCAGGGGCTGGCGAGATGGCTCAGTGGTCTAAAGCACCTACTTAGAACAAGCTCAGCAAAGCACAAGGACCGC